AAGGTTGCACGAAATTCTTAGATAGATCAGAGTTAGAAAATAACACCGTTGGTTGCCTTCTCGGTGGTCCAGAGGTTAAGTTTTGGCGTGTAAGACCGATGGTCCTGGGTCCGATTTCTGCGAGTAGCAGGAGTCGTAGATGATCACTGTTGATGAGTTCCATACCGGTACTTAGTGGTCGTCCAGTGCTTTCAGGTTTTCTAATGATGGTCTAACAATGATTTATTCATCATTTCTAGATTTCTATTCTAGAAACTTGTACCCCTTCCTTTCTCTTTCTTTCTCCCTCCCCTCTAGAATATGTAGTCACTCATCCTATCTCATCTTCTTTCGATCCAGGGTAAAAACTACTATTATTCTTATCATCAAAATAATATGCTTTAATTAAATAAACAAAAAGCAACAATGTTATCATTTCATATTCTGCAAACATGGCTTTTTTAAATTCACTATTGAATATACTACCATGCAATGTGTAATGTTTCAATGTTCAATTTTAATGCATAGATTAAATTGGTTATATATAAACAATATCAGTAGTTAAATAATGATGGACATTTTTGAAATTATATATATATATAAATAAAGTTCATTCACATCAATAATGGATAAATAATATCTCCCTCTTTCTTTTATGGACATTATAAAATAAATAAATAAATAATTATCAGTAAGAGTGTAAATTATCCTGTAATGGCTTCGTGTTTGATTCAAACTAGGGCTCATCACTTTCATCAGTGACTCTGGCAATATGACTCCAGCTTGGTTGAACGAGCGATAAGAGTATGTTTTTGAAATAAATCTTCCGTTCAATTTCCGGCAAACTCCATTTGTGAAGACAACAGTGGTAAATAAGAAGCCAAATACGGTTTTGTAGATGAGTTTATTTCATCGTATACTCGATAATTCGTAAATATTGGAGTCATCACAAGCCACTAAAGTGATGAGCCATTACATGGAGTTCAACGCAACTACTAAACCAGTTATTGATCATCAGATCAAAATTACTCAGTAAAATCGGAAAACCATATCGTAAATCGTTAATTTGCAAAATATCAGTTCATCATATCGAACTGGACTGTTCCTGTTGCAAAACATCAATTCAATATCACTATTCATGCGTTTCATACAAATTCCATTGTGTTCTAATTCTTCCTTTCTTCATCTTCCCCCATCTGCTGCCAGACACTACTTATAAGTAGCTCGCACCACATACTAACCAATAGAACGAATTTTTTTCTACTGAATTCCATTTCTATCAACGATCTATGTGTATAGCGGTATTTTTTTTCTCTTTTTCTCCTCCTTTACTGATCAACAATTCAGGAGTAGTTGACTTGCAATTGTGAGTTCGAACCCCCTCTTTACTTTATTAGTACAGCTGAGTACCATTTATTCTGCCGTGAATATTTTGTTTTTAGTCAATATACTAATAATAATAATTCATAATTATCTGTCGGTGACGTAATTATCCTTACTTCGTAAGACTTATTTGCTTGTTTGTTCTAATTTAAATACTCTTATCAAGCGAGTAGTATGTAATACACAGATATTTCCCAATTTTTTGGCGTTACTGTTTAAAGTGATCTATAGTCGATTTGACTCTAAGTGAGTGTATATCTACAATACGATTGAGGTGCATCAATCCTAAGTGGAACAACTCAGCCAATCGATCGGTTACAACTTCCGACTTCGTACGTACGAACATCAGTTCAAATTATCATGCCACATTAATGCAGAGAAATAAAATTGTCAGGCTTAATCTCAGAATAGTAAAGGTAGTGATAGTATCAGCGGTAATGGAAAAGATTTAGGATCGAAGATAAGAGTCGAGAAAACACAAGTTAGTGACATAAATTTAAAACATAAAAAAATGTCAAGAAGATTTCAGAAGCTTAGAATTCGGAGAAAGACAGACGATGGTTGCACCTGGGCCATGTCACTTAAAGTCTCTAACCACTGGTTTACGATAATCGAGCGGACCCCAACCAAAGTAGTAGTCTATACTCGTTAACATGACTCAGTACACACTACTTTTATCATAATGTAAATCTGTTGAAAATTTTTTTAATGACATTATCATTTGAATTCACATGAAATAAATGTCATCTTTCATTTGTACCAATTCCTTTTATCAACTAGGATTATTGGAAATAACTAATGTACACCCTAGTGATGCTGGTATTTATATTTGTACAAATCGTCAGTTAAGTTCCACGGCTCAACTACGTGTCCGAAGTAAGTTTATTTGTATTTCTATTGTTTAGTTATTTTCTTATTTTGATAAGTGAATTCTAAATTTCGTTAATACAAATATAAGCGCAATCCCTACAAATTTAAATTTTTAGCCCAATTGATGCGAACATCTGGGGATTAGTTCAGTGTTGAATCAAGTAAGCCCCAGAAAGTTCCCAAAATTTAAATAGTTCGCGAATTGATCTCAAAGACTTGACATCATTATGTATATTAGTTAGAAATATCATGTTTTCTTGTTCTGTGGCTAAATCGAAACTACGAACATACATTTCCTATAGATTAATGATTAACGCTATGTTCTTTCACTTTCCTTGCTGCGTGTAGTTTTTTCTAAAACCATTTATAGTTTTTCATAGTACATTTTGAGTATTTTTGAGTATTCTCAGCTGTATCTAATGGTTTTCTCTCCCCAGTTTTCTACATCTTTGAAAAATATTTCCTCTTGAGGTACCTAAAAAAGAAAACTGGGTTAATAATAGTAGTAGTGGTCTTGATAACCTGCGTGATCACACTTTCTGATGAATGAAAAGCCAATCATACAGTCTTTCTACGAGATGTGTGCAATGTACTTTAACACTACCGTCGTCATTGGCAAGATAAGGTGGGCTAGTCCTTGGGCCCACTTCCTCTTGTCGTTGGAAGACAACGCCACTGACGACGACGATGGTTGTTTGACTTTACTACTATCACTTCCCGATACAGTTAATAGCCCTGTTTCACTGTCGAACCTTAGGTTTTACTACTCTCCATCTGACCTGTTTGGTGTGGTCGGAGCTAATGTGTAGCTCGATTTTTTCATTGTAGTATTCAAGCTCCAACCTTTGCAGTCGGGTGTAAATTAGTTAGCATTGAATAGGTATTTCATCCAAATTCCCTCCCAACCTTGTTAGTGTTTCATTCTGTGTTTGTAACCCTTTTTGAACCATTGAATCGGAATTCAGAAGTACAAATTAACAACTGAAGTCAGTTTGTTTGAATAATGTTGATTATAATCTAATTCATTCACTGAGTTACTTCACCATTTTCAACGTGTACCTAACTCTATCGATTACTCCTGAGATCTTGAAATGTTGGAGAAAATTTGTAACTCAGGTGGATGATTGTGGAGTTTTCATTGTTCTTCTAAACAACATCATCAGCACAAACTTCAGATAAAAGTCCTATCATACTCTGCCATGAATGACAGAGAACAAGTCAAACAATACATAATTAATTATCACTTAGTGTAAACTGCTTGTAATTGTGTTGAATAAAATACTCTTTAGTCTGTGCTCTCTAAATTGAATCGTGAATTGTGTATCCCGATATAACTTGATCTAGTCTAGAGCGTATCGATTGAGTATTCAATCTGATGATAATAAAATTTCGCTTATCGGTTTTATTTATCGTATTATAATTAGTTTCAAGTTGTAAAAACCAAAAAACCATTTTTATTCACCCATCATGATAAAAAGAAAGCAGTGCGTGCGATATCAAGCCACTTAGTTGAACTAGTGTACCCAAATTACAACTTAATTAGTTGATTTCGACCAGTGATAGTACCGAAGGATTCAATAAATATATGACACTAATTCAAATACCCAGTGATCAATCAGTTGCAATACCCCGGACTATTAGCATTTATCTGTTTCCTTTTTAAGAATTATGGGGTTAGAAACGATTCTTAATTGCGTTACAGGGAACAAACGATACCGGTCACTGTTTTTGTTCAATCAATTCTAACTAGAAGAAAGGTTAAGAGAGAGAAAATAACCAACTAAACCCACCACACACACACACATATTACGTCCGTTCATTTCAGGAATATGAAAATGTTGTGTACATGAACTGAAGTTTTTTTTCTTCATAAGCTATAGAAACATTTAGGTTTTCCGCTTATTAGAAAAAAAGCACAATAATGTTACACACTGACACCAAGTACAAAATTGTTTAATCAAGTTTGAGCTATATTGTCTATTATCTGATTGCCAAAATTAAACTAAGTGATATTCAAACTTCCAATACTAAATTTTATAGAAATGATAGATAGATAGGTCGTAGCCTAGCAGTGTAGAAATTATAGAATGTAAGTTTTGTCCAATTTTAAATTGATCCGCTGATATCCGTACCTATTACATTATCATCAACAGCAACGTAGAACTTTGCACGTAAGTACAGCAGTTCAAGTTACCATACCACATTAGCACAGAGATATAATTGTCAATTCAAATCCTATAATAGTAGAGCTAGTAAAGGTATTAGAAGCAATCGGAGAGATTGGGGTTCGAAGACATTATTCAAGAGGTATGATTCAGTGAGGTAAATTTCAAAACAGAAAGGTAGAGGTGATGAGGAATTCAGGTTAGGACTTCAAAGAACACAAAGCATAAATACACCTACGCTATTGCGAATGATTTTGAGCCATGTCATTCAAGGTCTCTAACCATTGGTGACTTTCGTCTTATGGACCCTAACCAAGGTAGTCGACACCTACCGACACGACTCAGTACCTATTACATCTCAATGTTGTGTTAATACTCAAACCCTGACTGAAACTTAACTAACTAACTAACTACTCTTCACTTTGAACGTCTAGCTTATTTTCCACCTACTGAGCCCATACAAGTCATCCACAATATTTAACAACTTTTATGAATTTAATTAGCAACAGTTTAAATTATCTCCACAAGTGTTTTTTCTTGCACTGTTTAAATGTATGTATATCATGCTTATTCATTTATTTACTCACTTTTTTCTATTTGCAGAACGTTTACGTTTAATCACAAAACCACAAGATGTGAAAATTAATCAGTTCGGTGAAAGTGTTCAATTCAAATGTACTAGTTCAAATGAACAAGTTATACCATATTGGTTATTTAATGGACAACCGAAAATTACAGGAATAGGAAAAAGTATATAAATATTTATTTATGTATATTTTTCTGTTTTGTGAATTTGTTCGGTTCACAGAAGTGTTTTTATTGATTAGAAGAGATTATGGACTATTTAAGTTTGGTTTCTGATCGTGGTGGTGGTAAGTTTAGGAATAAACAAAGAAGGAACTAATCACTAAAAATGAATATCAACACTCAGTTTTTTCATCTGTTGTAAAAAGGTTTATTGTGAGTTGGGGGATACTGTCCTGTATTGCAGAAAGACGTGAAGACGTCAAATGAAAATTGTGGTACGTGTAGAATCTGAGGTAGACTCAGTTCATACGGGCACAATATGTCTTCGAACCTCTATTTAAAGAACAGGCAGTTTATGAGCCGTCTTCAAGACTCTGTGATCGCGCCATAGATTCGGATCCGATAGTTTTCTCTTGAGTAATGATTTATGGACAGCTCTCCTCTGCATACAACTTATAAGCCACATTGCCAGTAGTATCCACCACAATACAAGTAGTCTACACTTGCTAACTTGTTTTTAAATTAATAATCAGTGTCTATATATAATGTATAGTTTGGTTTGGTCTACTCTAACTTTCTTCTAACCTCTCTGTATGCCAATTAAAGACAATAGTAACCGATGGTTAGAGAGCTTGATTATCACTGCTTGAAATCGTTTGCAATGGCGCAGATGCATCCATTATTTGTCTTCTCTCAAAGTCTAGTCTTTTGAATTCTTCATCACTTTTACCTTTCTCTTTTTAAATTTATTTCACTGGATTATACTTGAATAATTTCTTCAAACCCCCTAATCTTCTCCATTATCACTATTTCTTCTACTATCACTATCACTATGGGTTTTGAAATTGACAATCCGATCTCTGTGCTGTCGTGGTATGGCTGACTGACTGTATACCGATTAATGTTATATGTTTAAATAAGCATTGCTTACGCACATAGAATACATATTTTTAGTTACTTTAATTCATGAAAGTTAACATTCCTATATCAACTGATTTCTTATATTGTACCTGCCTGATATTGTTGATTGGTAGTTGGAAATTTTCATAACCATTCCATTGGGAAAAATAATTGCTCAATGATACTTTATCATGAAGCAAATCTATTAATATCTTTAATGTTGCATAATTTTTCATAAAGATTACCCAAAATGGAAATAGGCTTTGTAGGAATTCAACTTCATGGCTTTGAAAGTTAAATCGATCGACCATGGATATAGCTTCATCAGTCTCTTATTATTTTTACATTCAAATTATAACTGGTAAATTTATAGAATTTCCGACAATCTATCTTTTTTCATGTTATAAAAAATTGAGGTATACGATAGAGGAGGCCTCCTCTATGTGCATCTAAATGTTCAGCTGCTCCTGTGGAGAAAGCTATATTGGGCATACTACCAGGCAACTTAACCAACGAATGAATGAACATCTCCCAGTATGATTTAAGAAGGGTCAGTCAAAACACCATACGCAGTTCTATCTTAGCACACTTGGTTGGTAGTGGTCATATTGTAGATATGTCTAGATCTTTTCGGGTGATCTATCGTATACCTCAATCATTTCCCAACGGACTTCGATCCCGTCTCCTACACATAGCAGAAGCCATAGGAATTCGTATATTCAACCTCAATTTATAAAAAATTATCAGTTCTCTTCTTGATTAGACTATTGAGTTAGCTGGTGATTTTAAGGCGTTAAACTTACAGTAGCTTAGATGAATTCACTTTTTGTATTCTCTTAGATTCTGAGGTTTTAAATTTGTTACAAATGTTTTTTTTCGGAATAATTCTATTCTACGTTGTGTTTGATTGACTAGCTGACTTATTAATTAGTGGCAATAGAAAACATTGGCTCTATATAGACAACCTGATTTGAGAAGAAAAAGTAATTTCTTGGAGTAGAAAAGAATATGATAATTATTTTAAGAGCTTATTATCCAGGAGAAAAATTAAAAGCTAGAATACATCTTTGCCATTCCAAACCACTTCACATCTCGAATTTACTTCAGCTCACAAAGGAGACCTTAATTCAAAAGTTATTTTCTCAATGATTTGATACTATCTATCGATCCGTAGTAGGTAGTAGACTTGATAGTAGCTAGTAATCGGAAAGTTGCTCTTTGTCTTTAGAGGGTTTTAGAGATTGTTGAATTTCCTTGAAATCGCAAATCTATCCAAGTTAGATAATTGTGGATGACCGTTTTGTCCTACTATGT